GATGACCATTGCGTGGCGGATGGACGTGCTGTGTGTGTGTGTGTGTGTGAGTGTGTGTATGTGTATGTGTGTGTGTGTGTGTGTGTGTGTATGTGTGTGTGTGTGTGTGTGTGTGTGTGTGACGAAGAGTGACTAAATGATAAAGTAGATAGTTGAGAAACGAGAGACAAACAGAGAGAAAAAGAAAGAAACAATCATGCAGAGAAAAGACAAGGAAATGAGAGTAAGAGAAAGGAAATGAAGACAGAGACAGAAAAAGAGAAAGAGAGAGAAGAGAGAGAGAGAGAGAAAGAGAGAGAGAGAGAGAGATAGTGATAGAAAGAGAAAGAGAGAGAAGAGAGAGAGAGAGAGAGAGAGAGAGAGAGAGTCTATTAAACTCAAAAGAAATGCAAACAAGCAAACAGATTAGCCAACAGATCGTAGAATCATATTTACGCAAGCAAATGGTTGGTAAATGTGTAAACAAATTAAACGACAAACATTGCAAGATAAACAAGAAGTAGGATGATGCAAATAATATGAATAAAGATGGAAAGAAAGAGAGGAAAAATAAACATAGACGAAGGGGAGGACTCTACTCGGAACAAGAAAAGGGAAAATAAACAGATAATAACGAGAGTAACAACGGTAACAACAATGAAAGTGATGATAATGATGATGAGGACGATGAGGATGATGATGATAATGAGGAAGAGGAGGAAGAAGATAGGGATGGTGATAATGACGAGGAGATGAAGGAGGAAGAGGGGGAGGAGGAGGAGGAGGATAGTGACGATGATGATGAAGGAGAAGGAGGAGTAAGATAGTGATGGTGAGGAGGAGGAATAATGAAGGAGAGGAAGTTAGTAATGATGATGATGATGAAGAAGAGGAGAAGGAGGAAGAGGAGGATAGTGATGAGGATGAAGAGGAGGAGGATAGTAATGATAATGAGGAGGAAGGGAGCAAAGTAGGAGGAGGAGGAAGATGGTAATGATGACGATGATGAGGGCAGGATAATAGGATGATGATGAGGAGGAGGTGGAAGAGGACGATAAGGATGAGCCAGATGATGAGGAAGCTAAAGAGGATGATGATACTGATAATGTTAATGATACTACTCCTAGTCCTACTGATGACAATAATAATAATGATAAGAGCATCAACAAGCAACAATAATAATAACAAAACGCATAATAATGTTCCGGCTTCAATATTAATTGGCAGATTATATTGATGAAAACATTTTTCATATTTGTGGAAATTTAAAGACATTGCCATAAAAAGGAGAGAGATAAAAAATCACCAAAGTATGATTTTTTCAATGAATTTTTAATAAGTATTTTTAATCATCGGTGAAGGTAATTTCATATGCAAATTTAGTACAGTTTATTAAAGGCGAATTGAGTCTATGGCAGTGAGACATTAGAGAGAGAGAGAGAGAGAGAGAGAGAGAGAGAGAGAGAGAGAGAGAGAGAGAGAGAGAGAGAGAGAGAGAGAGAGAGAGAGAGAGAGAGAGAGAGAGAGAGAGAGAGAGAGAACAGACAGAGAAGAAAGAGAGAGAGAGAAGAAAAAAAAAAGAGAAAGAGAGATAGCGAGAGAGTTGATGAAAGAAAGGAAAAGAAAGAGAAAGAAACAAACAAAGGGATTGGGAAGGGGAATCGAAACGTCCTTACCCACACAAGAAGAATCAAGGATAAACCGGATCCAGAAAATAATAAACAGACGCCCACAAGCAAACACAAACACACGGGACATTAACCTCCCAAAACCGCCTCTCCTTCGTTTCGCCGACGTGGAGGTCCTATGACGTCAGGGATTACGTCAGAGGCCATCCGGCAGATGAATTCATGGGCGGCGGTGATGATGGTGATGGAGGGAATGGTGGTGGTGATGATGGAGGGAGTGGTGGTGGCGGTGGTGATGGTGGAGGGAATGGTGGTGGTTGTGGTGATGATACCAACAGCGTGATAGGGAACGGGATATCAATCTACCTTTATATATCTATCAGTTTATCTATCTATCCATCCATCTATAAATCTATCCATGCAGTTATCTAACAACCCATATATCTATTTGCCCACCTCTCCGTATGCATGTGTCAGGTTATGTCCGCTCACATTGCTATAAGACGAGAAAGTATAAGAAAGAAACATGTCCTCTTACGTACATATAAATGTGCTTGTGTGTATGATCCAGCTTGCACTTTCCCCGTGCTTTTACCCTTGTTTAGATGCCCGCCTCTTTGCGTGCCTTTCTCTCTGCTTTCTGAGCCAATCTGGTTTTTAATACATGTGTTACAGATGTCTAACTCTAGTGCTTGTGGGGTTCTTGATTCGTTTTGTTATGGTCTTGGATGTCTAGGACTGTGTGTGTGTGTGTGTGTGTGTTTGTATGTGTGTGTGTGTTTGTGTGTATGTGTGTGTTAGAGAGAGAGAGAGAGAGAGATGAGAGAGAGAGAGAGAGAGAGAGAGAGAGAGAGAGAGAGAGAGAGAGAGAGAGAGAGAGAGAGAGCGTGTATGTGTTTGCTTCCTGTATTTAATCGATGCTTTTATTTATACCTGACCCTGTGGATATTCGTAGTCCATCTCCGGTTCGTTGCTTTAAGGAAAGCTTTGTTTGCTCTTGAAAACTGCCCACAGGAACGCGCATGTGAAAGAGCCAATATCTGGACGGGAAAAAGTGCTGACGGCTGAAGTGAAGTGTTTGCCTTCTTTATGTCCCTACAGCTCTCGGAGGGCCGTCCCGAGCGCTCCCTCGGCCACTCCCGGCCTTCTGCTCCTCCCTACCTGGGGATCTCTTTTTTTTTTTTTTTTTTTTTTTTTTTTTCTACGTGGTTCCGGTTCATCTTCTTTTTCTTTCTTCTGGGTTCCGTCTCTTTTCTCTTGTTCTGAAGTTCTGGGTCTGTCTGTCTGTCTGTCTTTCACTGTTTGTCTTCTTTCTCTGTTTCTCTCTCTCTCTCTCTCTCTCTCACACACATCACAGACACATACATACACACACACACACACATCCCAACTCACCCCTTGCTTCCCCCCCTCCCCCTCCCCCCGTCTTTCTTCTCTCCAGCTTTTCCCTCCCTCCTTCACTCCTCCTTTACACCCCCTCCTTCTCCTCTTGTCTCGTTATCACCATCCACCTTCCCTTCACCCCCCCACCCACCCCCACCCACCCCACCCCCCATGTTTACACTTCCGACTCCCTTACGCAATCTCGCCACACACGCCATGGCGGTTCCTCCCCTCCTCCGCTCGCGACGGCATCAGGCGGCCACAGCGTTCCATTCCTCATCCTCGCCTTGCTTACGCCGCCCATCTCGCTGAATTATGTATAAGGACTCCTAAGAGGATGTGAAGGATGGAAGAAGGATGGAGGAGGAAGCGGGAGTCAGACATTCTCTCAGTTCCTTTGTTTCCAGTCGTATTGATGTTCATTTTAGTAATATATATTTTTTTTCGTTTTTTTTTTTTTTTTTTTTTTTTTTTATTCCGGGTTGGGTCTGTGCCAACAGTTCATCGACCCGTCATTTGGATTTTTTTTTTCTGTTTTCTATTTGAGGAATAATGAGTTCTTAATTTCTCGAGTGGATTCTTCTCCCTCCCTCTCTCTCCCTCCTTCTAAGTGTCTAGGAAGATGTCATCGACCGAAGAAGTAGGGTTATATGTGTTTTATTTTTTGTTTTTTTTTCGTTCTTTTTCATATCCTTTTGAGTCTTTTGAGCCTTTTGTTATGTTAAATACAAGCACTTAAAATGTTTCCAGGCAATATATTCTTCGGAAAAAATCTTGTCCGTGATTGGAAATTCCCTTCTCACTGATCCTCATTTTGTGTCATAAAAACAATTACAACTATGCAAGGGATAATATATATATATATATATATATATATATATATATATATATATATATATATATATATATATATATATATATATATATATATATATATATATATATATACACTTGAACTCTACGGTAATAGCCTCCCGGTTTCATATTCACGAGCCGTTTGCGATAACTTTTGAACACGTGCATTAGTTTTTTCCCCGAAATTTTTTTTTTTTTCTAATCAACTGAGATGACAACATATGCGGATAAAAATAGAGAAAATTGTGCGCCAAAAAGTTCTCTGGCGTGCCACCAAAAATATATAAACATTATCATAGTGGCATCTGCTCTTTAAGGCACTATTCCCTAAAATAAATGCATAGATAAATAAAAACAAACTTTGAAGTCTAATTGGCCTTTGAAGCTCTTTTGAACCACGTGACCCTCGCTACCAAAGCCCCGAGTGGAGGAAGATACAAGAAGGAGCAGAAGAAGGAAGAGTACCTTTCTTAGGTGACACTGAAAGGATTGCGGTTTTTTTTTTTTTTTTTTTAATGCATACGGTGATTCGGGTAAATTGATGTATGCAAATCCGATTTTAAAGATGCGCGTTAAAGCGAATGTCTTGAATGTCAGAAGGGAAAGTTGGAGTCGTGTACATACACAAGACCTGAAATAGTGTATGTCACTTCTGATAAATTCTGTCCACGTAGATGTCTGGGATTAGATATACAAGAGCATAGTAGAAAAAAATACACATACAGTACAAGATATGATAAAAAGGGATTTAAGTACAAATATTATAAAAATGCAGACTAGAGGAAAAGACAAGTTGGAAAGAGAGAGATAACTAATGAAGTGAGAAGTGAGAGAAAAAAAAGTCTTTGTGTTATTGTTCATTTGACCAAGAGGTGCCGGTATTAAATCAGATCGTGGCAGAATAAACTGCTGATGATGAAAGCGATTTAAGTGCAAATATTATAAGTTTTGATAACTTGTCATTCCAGAATTCATTTTTTTAGTGTGCTAGTGTTATAATAATGCTTATGACAATGAGGTTGATAGCGATTATGACAATAAGAGTTAATAGTAGAATTACTTCTGTAATTGTTATCAATTGTGCTACCTCATATCATAATTAATTTAATTACTCTCTCACCGTTACTACAACTAAAGTTTCCGTTTCCTTTCCAGACACCGTACTACTGGCCCTCACAAAACCACAGCGCCGACTCCACCGACTATGCCATCTACCTTACCAAACGGCTGTCTAGGAACAAGCAGAAACACGGTCTCGAGGATTACGAGCTGGAGGCCTACAACAAACTCAAGAAGACACTCTCTCACAAGTGGGATTTTATCACCATGCAGGCGGACGAGCAGGTGGGTTGCGG